TTATACTTGCTGTAAGTACATTTAAAAAAAATGTGTGCTTGGGAATTTAATCTGATTTTGGAAATAGAAAAGCATTAATGTTTCTGTTTTGTAGTTTTTGGGATTATTTTAATTACTATAGGAAAACAGCTAAAGAATAAACAAAGCAGCCTGTTATTCTCTTGTTTGCTTTACAAATAAGTGCTCTGCTTTGTAATTACTCCTTTAAAGTTAAATGCTTAGGTACAAAATATGTTGCTTAGGAAATCTTGACAGTCATCATGGCAAATATTTGACAGTACTTGTAGAACTAAAGCACAGATGCCATTATTTATTTCATTATTTTTAAACTGTGAAGTTTTGGTTAGTAGAGCTGGAAGTCTTTTTATTTTAATATTAGACAGGAGCAGAAACTGCAAGAAATGTGGGGCCTGTACACACATAGGACCATCCTTGGCCAAACATTCATTGGTTGTCATCAAACTATTTTTTGATTTTATATATTAAAGTCAACATATGTTTAAACATGTCTATAGGCATACATGATGCATTTGTATCCTAGTATTTTGTATCTGTGTATTCCTTTGTTTCAGATTTGCAAGTCATATAAAAAGAACTTAGCTTATAAAAACAATTGAAACTTCCAGCAGTGAATTAAAATAGCAGGAATTTTTGTTTGTTTTCCTTAATCTCAAATTGGTGTGAGGTGCACAGTTGCTGCTTGTGTCAGTGTAATAACACTGACTGCCAAGTTATATTTTCAAAATCAAATAGATTGATGTAGTCAGGATTTTCAGGATCATCTATAATTAAAAAAACTCCATATGTTAGGTAGCTTACAGGGAAGCCATTATTAGCAAATCCCACAGACACACTGCTGTCAGAATCCATACATGGCACAGAAGCAAATACATTCTCTCACTACAGTTTGGCTTAATGACCTAGAAGTTCAGAGCTCCACAACATGAAATTCTTGTGTGTCTGCATTCAGATTTTTCACTTGTGATTCCTCTTCTCCCAGTCCAGAACCTACACAAAATTACTACCATATCCCTTCTTCCAGGTGGACTAACTTGCCAGCTGCTGGCAGCCAGCTGTGAAGCAACCAGTTTGTCCCCAAACAATCAAAAGGAGAAAAGAAGATGGAAAAATTCAGGCTCTCATTGAATTACCAGTCTTACTGTCACCAACTGCCAATTTACATTGGGATGGAGGAGAGAAAAGAGGTTTTTGTAAAGGAAATAAATGATATTTGGCAAAAGAGATAGGGGGCAGTTTTTTCTTCAGATAATATTTTCTTTCTAAGTATCTGCATATATGCTTGTATAGTATATTTTTTATATAGGGGTAATTTATCCTCTGTAGGCAGTCAGAATAAATGGGTTAACAGAGTTTGCTCAGGCCTCCTTGTCCCCAGTAAGTGTATGCATAGTGCTGTAATACTATTCTGGGTCTGCTGTCTGAAGTCACAATTTCCATTCTGCCACCCTACCAGCAAAATGGAGCCTGTCATTTATCTACATCAGATCATGGTTTGCCATTGATAAATCAACTTCAAATAAAATGTAGGAAATTCATCTTATAACATAAATGTGTCTTGTATTCAGCCCCTGCCTTCATTACGGTGCATTCTGTAGCAGCTGCCTGTAAAGATTACATTGTATAGAAAAAAAGACTTCTAAGCCATCAGAAGACTGAATTCAATCCTTTAAGAAGATGATGAGAGCGTGAAACCTGGTCATTTTCAATAGCTGAACTACAACACCTTTCAGGTATTACACTTGCCCCTGAACATCCTTTTTCATTTCTGCATTATGTTCACACTTTCTGCTTCCCTAAGGTCTTTTCTTCCCCTAGCTTAGTGTTAAAAAGCCAGAACTGCCACCATTACCTCTGTCATCACCACCACCACCACCAAAAGATGGGATAATGTGACAGCAAAAGCTGCTATATCAAGTACACACAATCCTGAAGTGAACAGATAAAATGTATTCACCATCTGTCTCATATATGGCAGCTTACAGCGTATGGGTAGGTTCAACATTCAGGCCAAACGGCTTTCTTCTAGTCACCAGGACCACAAAGACTGATGCTTCATAACAAACATATCCCCTTTGAATGTGGCAATGAAATATCTTGTATTCCAGAAATACACACTTCTGCATTTGAGATTATATTAAGCACTGATCAGAGTAGGTCAACGAATTTCACATTTCTGATTTTTACTGCCTACAGTGATCTTGTAAATAGTGATCAGTGTTCAGTGTAAATATCTTAAAATGTTTACACACAGCTATTGCAAAACCCATGGGGAACACATGTCATGGCAAAAGTAGCAGTTTATGGTGCTGAGAGAATGAGATCCTGTTGCCAACTAGGAGCTTCTAAAGGGCACAGGTAAGGCATTTTGTTCTGACATGTCTGTGCTCTCCTGCATGAGCATGAGTAACTGTCAGGTTAATGCTGCCAAAACCTTTGGGATAAGAGTCCTGAGGCTAGAGGTGGCTGTGTCTCACTGCCATCACCCAGCCCAGCGCCCTCCTTCACATTCATAGAGACTGAGTCGTTATTTCCACAGAGTGCAATTCCACAGCCACTGCAATTCCTTGCTACATCCTCTTTGAGAGCACCTAGATCTTTATCTGTTTCTCAGAGGGAGTGTAAGCTCAGCTGATGCTATGAGTATTCAGAATTTCCCTTTAGCTGTTGTCAATCCCTTTCTCAAGCAGCGAAGGATGTTATCTCCCATGAGATAGTGGCCAGCCAGGAAGCCAGTGTAAAAAGTTTAGAGCTTACCATTACACATAGCAATCAAATGCTAAGTGCTTAATGGAACTGCAAGGGAAAAGGTATTTTATCTGTGAATAACTAACCCCACATTTAATCACACCTGTGTAAATCAGCAGGATCCCTTCTGAGTCTGACGGGACAGCCCTAGAATTACCTCATTTAGCAGAGCCCCACATAAGAAATGGGGTGCATGCTCAGGAGGATGGCGTTTGTATCTAAAGGTTAAGGTATACAAAAAGATTTCAGGAGCTTGAGGAAGAAAATTAGTGTGTGAACATGAAAACCTGAGGAAGGAATGATGAAATTAATTACCGGAGTAAAGGAAAAATGAAGAAGCATGAAGAAAAACAATTAGTAGTTGAAAATGCTCTTGAGTCCAGTAACCTTGGAGAATGCATTGAGCTAGTGGTTGCTGCCACTTTAGGCAATTATTGGATATAATATAAACCTTTTTTCAAACAAAGACAGAATTGTTTATGTTTGAGGAAGCAGCCATCAATAGTGAAATTAAATATCTGAATGAATGCAGGAGCATGTTCTAATAAAACATGAAGGAAGTAATCAGGGAAGATTATCTGTCTTGTCAGTGTGATATTTAGCAGTGATAAAAAAGAAACTTGTTGCCAATGTACTTTCCTTTTTGCAAGCTGATCCTATACAGTATAATATTAAATGGCAGAGACTCATAAAGAGTTTAAATGCTTCTCTGCAAGACAGAGCTGAAGACATGCACAAAACTGAGATTTATATTAGATTACTAAAATGGTTACACTTAATGCCAAACCAGGGTATCCTGGGATTGGCAATAACTTCCTATGATTGCTCAGAGAAGCCTATAGTAACGCAGTTGACCTGAATTGGAGTCTGATGAGTTGCAGAGAAGCAAGGCTTTATACCCTGGACTAAAGGAAACCATCGCTTGACCAGCCCAGGACAGAAATTCAGCGCCCACTTGCAACCCACTCATCTTTCTTACCCTGTCCCCCGGGGAAAAAAAGGAATTATGGCAACAAAATGTTGCCTCTGTCTGGAGGTCCGTGGTACAAATTCCCATGCCAAAAAGAGAGAGAGAGCCAAAAAGGAGGTCATTGCTTGCAATTGCAACCTTACACTGGATACAAATAACACCCAGCGACAGAGTGCAGCCTCGCCTGCTACTGTAGCTCAGCAGATGGAGTAGCTGCTAAGCTTAGCCTGCAGGATTGAGAAATGGATTTTTTCTTTTATAAGCAAAACCATGTGCAGATGAACTGAGGATCACCTACAGATCACAGAAGTAAAACCTATTACTTAGCAATTTTTTAGGTCAACATACTACATGTCACTCTTCTCTCATCTCTTTCCTGCTTATTTTATTCCAGTAACTTGTTTGCTTGCTTTTCTGCTGCACTCCAGAGCTTAATTTTAGCACCTGGAGTTGGTGGGCCTTGCTCAGAAAACCTCCAAAATTTACTATTGGTCATCTTTAATGAGATGCCTTAAGAGAGATAGCACAATATATTTGCTTATAATTTCACATGGTTTTCCTGTGCTTTTATTGTAAGTGGGATTTGCATCAAAAAAAACAAAAAATAAACCACAGAAGCTTGTGTCAAAGCTTTACTGTGAGGCTTTGATGCAAACATCTGCTTCTCAGTACATTCTTCCTGAAATCTAAGAAGGATATTTTAACAGTTTCAGATATTGCACACTTTGTACTTGAATTCTAATGACTTTGTACACCCGAGAAGTTGCTACCGTGAGGTGGTAGCCATTTTAGTTATCATCTCCACACCTTTAGGTCCATTATAATCTTGTTAGAATCTCTAGGCAGGGCCCTAAACCCCTGTAATACCAACAGAACAACTTTTCTGATATGACACCTTCAGACTAAATTTTTGCATTTACCTTAATGGTTAATATAATTATTACAGTGATCTGCATGAGTGAATTTTTCATCTGCATGAAGAAAGCTGTCTTTGTGTCTATTTGCTTTTTTGTTCTAAATTGACATTTTCCCAAAGTTGACCAGAATATTAAAATTGCTTATCATGAGCCAAATTTCTGCCATTAAGGAAAAAAAAAATAAGTACAGCTAGAGAGAGGTTTGTGTGTACTGGGCAGATACCCTCAAAGGGAGTGAAAGCAAAATTTATTTGGTAATCTTAAAAGTACAGAGCAGGTTGCCTTCTGAGTGTAGCCATTACAATTTATGATTTCTGCCATACTATATATTGATTTCTCTATCTTAAGAATCAGCACCTTTCCCTGTTGATTGAATTCTAATTATTCACTCCATAGTTACATTGATTTTAACAGTCTTCTGGACCATTTTGGACCAGGTTGATTTCAAATTGCACAAGATGAATTCATCATGACTATTGATATACAAACTTCCACTCTCCAGCAACTTGGAAAAGAAACAAATTGCTTTTTCTCCCTTCTGCACAGGCGAAACTTGTGTCACACTCACTTGTACTGTAGCAGTCAGCTGGCTTTAGCCTGTACCTCATGACAACTCTGGGGAGAAAAGGCAGAAAAAAAGAGTTAATTTTGTTTGTCTGAACCCAGTGAAGAGTATGTGTATAGTGGATGGTGATTAAATTAATTGTACTTTTCAAATATTTCATCAAAGATCAGAAAATCTTCTACCTGCAGGTTACATCCAGGTGCTGCTTGGGTGTTATGGGCCACCTTTACCCTCTGAAGTCATGAGGCATGGATGATGGGCACCAAGGTGCCTGTTTCAGCCACCTGGGGTCGTCCCAAACTTCTCTGCCTGCTCTCAGGGTCATTCCCTCAGCAAAATGTACCCCTGCCTGTCTGATGTACATACAAGAGTGGGCATTTACATAAATCAATACTACAGCTTGACTGTTTTGTAATTAAGTTTGAGGAATCCTTTTTAGCCTCATGGTTTTATTTCCATTTAACTTAGGCAATGACTCCCTACTCTTTTGAGTTATTGCTATATAAAGAAATATTCAATATTCAGTCAGGTTGAAAGCTACTGATTACATTAATCAGCTTTAATAGGATATGTTATTAGATCTTGAATTATCTATAGATCAAATATATGATCAATGGCAGCCTTTAAATATTTCCGAGTCAATATTTCCAGAGATTTATTCATTCAAAAGAGCCTAGAAGTGTTTTACAATTGAAGGTTCAGATTCTACTCACCAGCTTTATTTAGCCTTCACTTTCTTTCTTCTAAAGTTCATTAATTTGGGTCCTGAAGTTGTGGTGCCAAAAATTGTTGAAGCAGTAGGATATGGAATAATAGAATCATTTCAGTTGGGAAAAACCTTTAAAATCATCAAGTCAAATGGTTAACCCACCACTGCCAAGTGTACCATTAAACCATATCCTAAGCATCTTATTTATAAGACTTCTAAATACCTTCAGAGATCTCAGTCCCTTAACAGTCTGTTCCAGTGCTTGGTAAATCTTCCATCAAAAAAATTTTCCTAATATCCAATCTAAAACTTTCTTGATGTGATGGAGGCCATTTCCTCTTGTCCTATTTCCTGGTACCTGGGAGAAGAGCCTACCCCCACTTAACTGCAACCCTCTTTCTGGTAGTTGTAGAGAGGAGTAAGATATTCCCTCATCCTCTTTTTCTCCAGGCTACATAACCCAGCTCCCTCAGCCACTCCTTGTAAGGCTGGGGCTCCAGACCCTTCACCAGTTCCCTTGACCTTCTCTGGATATCCTCCAACCCCTAATGTCTTTCTTGTGGAGAGCATTGAACAGAATTCAACATGTGGTCTCACCAGTGCTGAATCCAGGGGGACAATCACTGTCCTGGTCCTGCTGGATGAATTATTTCTGATACAAGCCGGTGCATTTCTTGGCCAAAACAATGCTGGCTCGTGTTCAGCTGGATGTCAATCAGCATCCCCAGGACTTTTTACTTCAGACAATTTTCCAGCCACTCTTTCTCCAGCCTGCAGCTCTGCATGAGGTTGTTAAGACCCAAGTGCAGGACCCAACATTTTGCCTTTTCAAGCTCATACAATTGGCCTCAGCCCATCAATCCAGCGCGTTCAGATCCCTCTGTAGAGCCTTCCTGCCCTCCGGCACACCAGCACTCCCACCCAGCTTGGTGCTTTCTGTGAACTCACTGATGGTTATTAAACAGCACGGGCTCCAATATGGAGCCCTTGGGATCACCGCTTGTGACTGGCCACCAACTGGATGGTCAACTGGCCATCCAGGTGACTTTTTTACTCACTGAAGCATTCCCCATCCAAGCCATGAACAACCAGTTCCTCCATAAGAATATTGTGGGAAATAGTGTCAAGGCTTCACCAAAGTTGTAGGTAGACAACATCTGCAGTGTTCCCCTCATCCACTAAGTGGGTCACACTGTCCTACAAGAAGACCAAATTAGCCATAGTCTGCAAGTCTGGACCATATCTGATGTTTTTATTTTTATTATTATATCTAAGTGAACAGGTGCATATTGATATAGAGTCCTGTCCATGCATGTATCTCCACTGTGCTTTCAAACCCACTTTGGGATAAGACACGGATGTGACCCTGTCTGCTTGCACCACCATCATATCCATGGGAGGGAAGCAGGGTATGCAGCGCCCAGCCAAGTTGTGCCCCCATAGCTCTGATCTTGTGCCTGTGCCCCAAAAGGGTTCAAGTCCTGCCCTGAGCCTGCTGCCCTTCTGAGGTGGAGTTTTACCTGCTCTCTGCTGGAAGACATGTGACTCTGAAGCACAATTTTCAGTGTAAATTGTAGAATTGTGGGTGCATTAGAGCAAAAAGAAATTAATGGAGAAAATTAAATCAGATGAAGATTTTACAGCACACATCTATTGTGCATTCAAAAATCACCCACTTCACTAAATGTACCCATTCTAGAAGTAGCATACAGAAGTTTTATTGCAATGACATGCTGTTTTCTTTTCTAATGAGGAAACAATGAGTTATCCTCCTTTAACCTTGCATGTAGAAAATAAGTCCAGCAGGCAGGAGAGTTGATGATTTAAGATGTTATTTTCCAAATTATAAAGCTTCCTGTGGAGATGAATTTTCTTACAATCTCTGACAAACTATCTGGTGATTACTGTGATAAGAGTAGTACATGATCTAAAAATATGTACATCGTCTTTTGAAGTAGAAAGGAAGTTTTACATGAGCTCTTTAAATCTCAGAGTGGAGCCATTTCTTTGTTAGAATAAACACATCATGTTAGGGTTTACCCTGAGCAGTCTAGTGGAAAATAATCTGCATAAATAGATGACATTTGATCAAACAATGAATAAAAGATTCAAACAGAAAATTTATTTTCATTTGTTTCTAAGAGGTGTAAAAAGAACAAAATTACCAGGCTATTTCTTTTCCTTTAAAATCTTTTTATAGATAATGGTGAACAGATGATTCTGTCAAACTTCACTTGCGATGAATTCAAGACAAGATAATATCATCATCCATCTTCTTGATGAGCCTCATCATTTTATCTTCAGTCTGAATCCTGGAGAAAACTTAACAAGCTCTGCACATCTCTTCATTTAAAAATTATGGTTGAAGGAGAGAAAATGTTTAAGGTCAAGCTTCTAAGCTACCATCTGCTGCTCATTTAACAATTGCCAAGAACATCTGCCACTACTGCACATGCCTAAGACAAAACTTAGCCAACATCACCTTTTCTTTTAAGGACAAAATCTTAGAATCACATGAGCATTGACTGAGGTGCCTTCCTGCCAGCAGTCAGAATTTAGCACAAATGTAATGGTTTGACAGCCCAGTTAATAGATAAAGGCAGTTCTGTGGTTCACAACACAGAGTTCACCGTCTGAAAGCCTGGTTTCACAAAGAGTAGTGTCACTTACAACTTTGCAAGACACATCAAAAATGTTTGGGTTAGGGTGGGGTAGAGTGGTATCCCCTGACTGATGAGAGCTGAAATGCAGTTATGGGGTAGTAAAAGAAAACTCCCATAGTTCCCACTTTTGAAGCCACCCCTCTACTTTGGCTCTCAGGTTGCTGAAGGCAGTATTTTTGGAAAGTGTTATAAGTGAAATATGAATGCAGACGCTTAAGAGCTAAATAAAACACGTCCTCAGAGATGGGTATAATATTCTCTAAACTTTTATAACAAAATTAATAGATATAAAACTCTGAAAAACATATGGCATACAAGGTCTAATTTCTCAGATAAAGCTCTGTGTCTTTATTCATACTTCAAGATATATGAAATCCCACTGGCTGTTAATTCCTTACATTGTGGAAAATGTTTAGAGTCTTTAAAACAGTGTAAGGATGCTGTTCTTTACTCATGTGCATGAATTCTTAGTAGCAAGAAGTAGATAGGAGATGAAGACCTGTATAACTAAATACAAGAGAAATGGTTTGGGGTTTGTTTTTTTATTTTTATAGCTTGTATGGAAATTACCTCCTCTAAATGATGGACATGACATATAAAACGCCTATTAAGATACAATGAAAATTTTAACTAGAAGGAGACATTTTACATGGTTGCATCACTAATTTGATGATTTGATCAGACAGGGCAGACTCTTTCATACATGCATAGTGTATCAAATTTCTGTAGTTAGGTAAATGCCATGCATTGGATTATTTTCCATAGGTGAAAAAAGTAATGCAATATACTAAGTATTTAGTGATCTTTCTGAGCTATGTAATAACCAGTGAATGCAATTCAAGGTAATGCATACGTATATTAATAGGTATAATGAATAATTTCATTCCACTTATAGAACAGTGAACCAGTATTTTAATGGTGTCTGGAAAGCAGAGAAAATTGAAGTGATTGTAAGACTGAATGTAGCTAAAAATTCCCACATTGATTAAAGATCAATTTACTTTTGAAACTTGAAAACAGGAGTTATGCTTCATGTCTTTTTTCTATTTAAGTTTCTAAATTACGCTACATTTTGTATTTCAACAGAAGGCACAATTTAATCCTTATCAGAGGACAGGAGTTATGTAGAAACTGGTAGTGTTTGTCTTGTGGTGTGGAGAAGATAAATGGTATGTATAATATTTTGGGGCATTTTATTATAGCTAAATATAGGTCTCCTAAAAATTATCATCAAACTGGGTTTTTTTACAGAATTTTTCTGTTTATGCGAAAATGAAGAGAACAATGCCTGCAGCCAAACCTCCAATCTAACAACTATTAGCTTTCCAAAATTCAGAGCACCATTATCAAATCCATTTCACAAACAACATTGTATATGATCTCCACCCAGGCTTATCTTGCCAGCTCTATTCAAGAATTTTAACTGGCAGAGGAACCTGTCATTTTGAATGTGATTTTACATTTTTTCTTGATGCTTAGAAATTGTTTATCTTTAGTAGGACCTGAATGTTTTCTTTGCTTTTGAAATGCCTCTAGTCTGAACAGTCTGCTCACAGCTGAAACAGAATTTGTAAGCAGGCTGGCAGTCATGGTGTGACACTTTCTCACCTGATCCAGATTAATGTAGACTGCCACTGAATCCTCCGTCTGCTGAATCTCCCTGGAGTAACTTTTGTACATTATGAAAAATTTAAAAGAACTTCTGCTTTTAAGAATGAATTGACAAGTGAAAAAGTGATAGTTCACAGAATACCCTCAGATGTAAAGCAAAATGTCTCCAAAACCTTAATTACAGTACAAGGATAAGAATGCTGAGATTGGTGTTAAACTACATTTATAAGAGCAAGCATTTAAAAGTTAAGAAAGTCTAGAAGTTAAGGTCGACAGGCAAAGTATACAGGATTTTTTGGTACATTTTGCATACTCCAAAATAGGGAAAAAAATAGTGTTTTATGCTTAGTGTAGAGGCAAAGAAAGAAGAATTTGAGTAGCAATGTGCACAGGAGTTGTGTATAAGAATTCAGTCTCATTCTTTTCAATAGCTTTGGAGCTTTTCATTGGTCTATTTTAGATATTAATTTTTATTTTGCAAATAATACCATAACTCTAAATTGTGGGAAAAGCTAAAGCTATGCTTTGATTATTTATTTGCAGTTGGTAATCATGTATTGGCTTCCCATGTTTGCTAAGGTGTATTTTTGTGTGTTGTTGAAGCCATGTAAAAAAATTAGAATGGTTTCCTGTGTTAATGCCTGTCTTTGTTATGGTTTAATTCCATCGCCAATGAAACATCATGCAGCCACTCATTCATTCCCCCCTACCCTGGTGAGGTGAGGAGGAGATTCAGAAAAAGGTAAAACCCACAGGCTTAGATAAGAACAGTTTGATTATTGATATAAAGTAAACTAGAACAAAACCACAAATGGTAGTGAGGAGAGAGAAACAAGTGACACACGTTACAGTTGCTCACCACCCACTGACCGATGCCTGGCCCCCAGCAGCAATCAGCCCCACTGCCATCCCCAGCTCCAGTTTAGGTACCCAGAAAAATGTCCTATAGCATGAAATGTCCCCTTGGCCAGTTCAGGTCACATGTTCTGCCCATGCTCTTCCCATCTTCCTGCACACCTGCTCACTGGCAGAGGCTGGGAAACTGAACAGTGCTTGACTTAGGATAAGCACTGCTTAGCAACAACTAAACCATCAGTGTTTGGTTAGTGTTATTCTCATACTGAATCCAAAACACATCGCTAGGAGGAAAGCTAACTCTATTCCAGACAAAACCAGGACAGTCCAGTAACAGCCAGTGTAAAGCTGCTGCACAAAACCATGTCTGTCTCTCAGCAAAACAGAGGTGAAAATACTGTTTAGAGTCTATCTCAGTGCAGTATGGTGCTCCTTAATCGTGTCCTATCAAGCAGGCACGTAAGCACTGGAAGTCACTGAAGAAGAGTGGGGAAAAAAAAGGATAAAAAAAAGAGCAGGACAATTTGGAATTAAATCATTTTGGCAGGTGAGGGAACTGTTAACCTGGGTCAAACTAATATCAGTTGAATGATTTGGAAAGAAAATCCTCGTGTGGCAAATATTTTCTCTTTGCTTTTATCAAAGATATTTATAGGTTTTAATAAGTGCAAAGACTTGCATTCAGCATCTAATGCAGCATTCTCTGTTGTGGTAATAATGCTGATAATGCCATAAATAAATACAGCGGTTTGGAGCTGCTTAAGTGATGAAATCATCTTCTTTTTTTTGTTCTTCCTCTTGCTGGCCCAGCTACCTCTCTTGGTGCCACCAAAGGTAGGCAGACTTTTGAAGAAGTATTATACAGATTGAGGTGGAAGATGAAATGTCATGTCACATATACCCTCCTGGCTCTCAGCTGCTGAAAGCTGATGTTCCAGGGTATCTCTCTCCATCATTAAGAAGGGGCTATTATGGAGATAGCATGGGTTTGGTGAGGTTCGGTCGAACTGGAGGAGAAAATGCATGGAAAAAGGACCAGGGAGAAATGGGCAAGGAGGAAAAGGTTAGAAGAAAATTTGATATTGCAAGACATAGAGAAAAAAAGAAAAATGAGAGACTAAAAAGTAGGTTAAAGTGTCTAAGGAAAAGGGTTGGGAGGGGGGAAGAGAAAGGGAAGGAAGTATTGAAGGTTAGTTTGAGAAGTTTGCTGACACTCTCAAAAAAATGTGTAATATCAGGAATTCCCCAGAAATCCCCAAATCTATAAACAGGAGAAGACAGGCAATGGCTGAAAAAGCTGGTCTTATTTTAATTAAATGTTTATTTAAGTCTAACATATTTAAAAATTATAATTGGTTTCCCCCAGCAATGCCCTTAACCAAGCCCCTTCACAAAGATCTTTGAAAAGCAGTCAACTCACTAAAAATCCCACTTGGCAACCCTTTTCTCCTGAAAAAGGAGCTTACCGAAATCTTCAAAGGCCAGAATCTGGCATAGTTTTCTCTCGAGTAAAGTTAACTCTGTGAGCTGAAGCCCTGCCAGGCAGCGCGATGTGCTCCAGCTCGCTGCACACGTGGTCTCTGTGTGCCCAAACCCTCGGGCTGGAGTGACTGACCTTTCTGCCCAGTGACACCTCATCCCATGCCACCTGCCCCTGCCTGAGGAGCCCCATTTTTGTCCATGGCCCAGGTGGCAAACTGCAGCTGCAGCCAGGATGGATGGCTGAAGTTATTACCAAGGCAGCTGCATGGTGTAACCCATCCCTGCCCTCTGACTGCTCAGTGTCCGGCTGTGGCAGGGCAGAGTGTGTTCTATCAGCTGGTTCGTGATCCCACAGGGACAACAAATACATGAACTTTCAATGAGCTTTTTTCTGCCAAAGCTGATCCTCTACCACTGCCCTTCGGTGTGGGCAGACATTCCCTGCAGCAGCCGATGAAAGAGAAGTTGCCATAACCATGCACCTGAGCAGGTTTTCATCCAGAGACCACAGAGCTAAGGCTGGGTTTAAGTGATTGTTTCTTGGACAGGACTTCTGATGACTGTGATCAATGTTGATGTGTAAGAACAAACCTTTCAGAGGAAAGAATATCACATCCTATTACTCTGCAATTAAAACCCACAGGGATGTTTAGAGAAAATTAATATTCATGTCCTTGTTGCTACCTGTGCAAAAATGGAGCGACTTGTTGCCTGAAAGCTCAAATGGACTGCAAAACTTCTAAACGAGGCTGATGTTGGGAAACCACAGCCCCAGAGTTCTGAAATTCAGGCTCTTTTCATGCATTCTAGGTAGGATACTTAAATATTCACATCACATAGTCTTTGCAAGTCTGATATTAGAACAGACATGGGATAAAGGTCAACACAGAGAAAAGTCTAATAATAATAAAACAAAAATGCATATGCATTCACATCTTATCAAATACACAATGGAGTTGGCTAGGCATGTTTAGAGGAATTCATTTTTTAGACAGAATAAATGGTTTGTGAAGGAAAGCATTCATCAATACTTTATATACAGTTTCTGCGTGGAAAGAATTCCTGGTGAAAGTACATGTGCAACCAATTATCCACTGACTGCAGCCACCTCTGGGGAGAAGGAATAGAAAGTCATTTCTATAGCTCATTTTGTCAAGGGACCTGGCCCTCTGGTTCAGAGTGCCCAGACTCCTGGTGGAAGTGGGAAGTGGGAAGCAATTTGAGGGGCACATTCAGAGTTGTACAATGCCTTGCCCCGGCTCTTCTGCCTCACACTCCCTTCTTGCCCCCAACTCAGCCCAAACCATGCCTGGGATAATGGCAGTTTTCTGGAATATGCCTGGGAATCTAAATGAGGATGTCTACCACTCTGTTGGCCCCACAGTACCTCTCAGACGCCTATTAGTTAGAATCTGTCTCCCTCTCTATCACTCCTGATGGTTGTTAACTGTCAAGAAGTTCATAAGAGGGAATTGAGTTTCCCATTTCTGAAGAAAAATCAAATGATTTGCTTTTCACACTGAGACCTAGCCAGGCACAAATATACCAAGTGCAATTTAGTAATATCAATTTAATTGCATATTTCCTTCAAACTATATGACCACCTGGATGCAGTCACAACAATAACAACAGTAAATCAATGTTTGTGAGGAAATGCTGTAAAGTATTAAAATCTAATAATATGTTTTCTTGGAAGCTGCTGTTAAATTTTTTGTTTCCCTTTGCAAATGAGTGCTAAGAATGCCAAGAACAAACAAGTGTCTAATATTATTTTTCCCAAGAAGAAATGAAAAGATATTGATTTCTGTGAAAGAGATTCCTTGATATGTAAACACATTATTCTAAGGCTTAGAAGAATCATATACTTTTATTTCTTCTGTCTTCTGAAAACACTTGAAGGAAATATTTTATCAACAGTATTAAATGACATGTTGTGTATGCTCCCAGATAAAAAAGCCACCAAATATATAACTTACATTTTCACATTGTGTACATACATATTCCTAATTTTACCTTATATTTACTTAAATAAAAGACATCTCTGAACACTAAAATATGTGAATCTGCAAGGTTTCTTCTGTGTGAAGTGGCACCAAGGCTGTCTGAAGGACATTCAGTCTCATGGTTTAGTGTGAGGTAGTTCTGTGAGGAGCGGGATTTGGACATGATGATCCTTATGGGCCCCTTCCAACTTGAGATATTCTGCGATTACATCATGTCTGATCATGAGGGTGAATATCAGAAGAGATTCTCCTTCGTGTCACTTGCAAGGACCCCTCAGGTGGACATGTTTTAAATGGTGATTCCACTGCTTTACAGCAACACAAGTGACCACCAAACAGGAGAGAAATAGGGGTGAACTAGCACAAAGCACCTCTTTTTACTAGGTGGTTTTGCAAATGACACTTAGGGTTCTCCAGTTAGGGTGGTCATTCCTATAATTTCATTGACTAGGGAAACCTTTAAAAAGAATATAGAATTCCATTAGCAGTCTGTTAGTCCTCAGGTGCAATCAGCCATTTGAGCCTCTGCACTGTATTTTAGAGTCATTTGTCCACTACAATTAGCATGCCAGGAAATCTATGACTGATAATCTAGTAATTTCTATATTTCTATAGAAACATATAAATATGATATATTTATATGTTTATATACATATTTATATAGTTATATTTTATATGTTTATATATATAGAACATATAAATATGCATGCATATGTAATAGATAAAAATAATAGAAATGTATGTATTGAATATATATCTAAAATTATGAGCTAATGCTTATTTATAAATTTTTACATATAAATTTGTATATAGAAATCTAGTTATTTCCATATACCCAGAAGGAGAGAAACTTTCCAGATTTAAGAATTTTAGATTACAGAAATATCCTCTACTTCTCTGTTTTTTTTCTTTTATATTTTCCTCAGAATGGACCACCATTGTTCTGATTTAATTGTGTATAGGCTGTTCTAACTCATCAGCTGAAGTATCCTTCTTCAAGAGGCTTGACCATGGAGACTACCATTTCATAAATGCCTTCCATTTCCCATCAGCTTTGCCCTGTCTTGAGCATGCACAATGGAAAAGGAAAGGTCCAGGAGTTACCAATTGCTCAATAAAGGACAAAGAACATTCCTGTGTCTGCTATGGAACAGTACAAAACAGCAAAGAAGAACAGCATGTGTTGTATTTGTGGTCAACTAGGACAGCAAAAGGAGAGGAAACATCAAGATTAACAGAAAAAAAATAATCTGATTTGTGATGGTCACAATAATTAAATGGAAAAAAGCCACCATGTATTTCAATTCCAGTAAAATTAAATCATGTTTCTTCCTAATACTTTTGATAATTTGTCCATGAACACTTCGTTATTTAAACAGCGTTCATGTGGTACAGCCAAGTTTAGAAAGGATTTATTTAACATGCCATTACAGCAATTAGCCCCAGGGAAAGTTCAGCTTGCATACCCAGCTTCTAAATATGTCTTGAGTTTGTATTTATCAAGTGAGTTTCCTTTTCCCCCCTACTGAGAATAAACTTTTCTTTTTTTTTCCTCCCCTCACAGCTCCTCTGAAGCTTTCAACCTGAGCTCTTTGCTGAGCGCCTGGCACACTGGAGCTCCAACCTACAGGTCCTTTCCACATTCCCTCCTGAGGACATCGGCACAATGTCTGTCCTCAATCAGGTGCATGTGTCAGGCCACAGGTGTCAGCTGGGATCATGACTGCAGGCGTAAGTAGATAAAGACAGAATGTTTAAGAGGCAGAGAGGAGATTCAGGATGCTGAAGTTCAGTTTCGAGCTCTGATGTGATTGAGGGGAGTCACGTAGTCATTACCTGTATCTTGGCTCTCTGAGTCTGCATGGTGATAGTTGTAGTTTATCTCCACCGTGGTTACTCAGTCTATAGTGGATGAGGGATCTCTTGCATTATTTACTTACATCAGGTAGCACATCAAGGGTCCCGTCTCACTTTGGGCCTCCAGACACAAACATTCCTCAAAAAGCTTTTTGAACCCTACGACTTTGAGCAGATCTTCCACAAGGAAGAATGGCATTCTATACAGTGGAGGAAATGAGTTCCCAAAAAATCTGGGTCTGAGTTTTCCCGGATGCCATACTAAAAAAAAAAAAAAAAAAGAAATAATATTTTCTCTTATAAGTAAAAACAATTTTATTATCTTGTGAATCCAAGATATAACTTCCTTAGTCTGTACACTTCACTTGATGACAAGGAGCAGACACAGCACTTCCTCACCACCAATAATTCTGGACCTCCTAATTTCATTTTCACTTTTCTTTTACTGCCATCCATAGAGGTGACTCTCCAGGTTCCCTTGGGAACAGGGAAGGAAGCGAATGCAGCGTGTGCAACCAGCATCCCAATGCCACAATCCCACTTCCTTCTGCCATTGGCTGATGAGCCTCTCACAGTGCATGTAGCAGAAACTTGCACTTTTTGCCCTCCAACTTAGATTGGGACCAGTTTCTGCAACATTTTCAGCAGGATTTCCCACAACATTCAATACACAAGGCAGAATGCAGCTCTAAATCTACTGCTTCTTATGTCTTCAACTGCAATTAGGTTTTTGAAACTGTTTTTGATGAGCATGCATTTTATAGTCATAATTAATTGCAAGAGTTGCAAAAGAAAAATGATGTTTCAGAGCCACTGCTTGCTGCACATATTAGCCACAAGAGGCTTACGGAATGTCACTGCCTGGGTTAAAAGAGTAATGTTGCTTTGGTTTTGCAATATGCATAAAAAATCAGCCTTTTTCACTCTGCATACTCTTTCTGCACAACACGCTGAACATTAATTATACACCAGCCCTGAACAAAGCACAGTGATACCAATGGAATTTTTTTTTCTGAAGCATCAACAGGACTGGCCAAACTCTGAGTTGTTGGGGGCAAAATTCCCCATCTAGTTTCATTTTCTACCACTTATTCTGTCTGTATCAATGTCTGTATAAATGAACCAAAGTACAATAATACTTCCAGCAAATGACTCTAAAAACCCATAATTCCCTGACAGCTTTAACCACTGGACTTCTTTTTTAAGAATAT